AGCATATGAGAAATGGGCCCACAGCTTGTGTCCCCATGGATCTCTCTAGGGAGCAGACTTACCAGGAACTGCTTACAGTCACTGGTCTGCCAGGCACGGAGCCAGGGGAGGAAAGCACAGCTTGCTGGGGTTGAACCCACAGGACCAGGTATTAGGGTCTTCTTGAAGTCCCAGGTCAGATCAAGAAAGAAATTCAGGGGCCTCCCTGGTGGCTCAGGGGTTAAAGTCTCAGCACTATCAAGCTACAGACAGATACTGCAGCACGAGTTCGATCCCCAGTGGGCCAGGGAGCAACCCACATGGTGCAGCAGACCTCTCCTGTCTCACCCACTGCTCCCCTCAGCAGTGTATTCCAGTGGATCTGCCTATTCTGCTCCTCGCTCTCTCTGGTGAATCCTCTCACCCCTGCATCTCTGGCTTACACCCCAGTTCTTATATGCATAAATAAATAAATCTTCAGAAAAAAAAAAAGAAAGAAATTCAATAGAAAATATGAAGATAAAGGAAAAAAAGAGAGACCAGGGAAGAGGAGGGGCAGTAAAATGACCCCACTAGAGGTCACTGGAGCATATGCTGGGTAGAAGGAGCCTGTGTCTTTGGGGCAGGGCTGCGCTGTGCAGAGAGAAGAGCTCAGGAGCTCCCACAAGCACATTCCTGAGAGTATCTTCCCCAGGGAGAAAGCACAGAATTTTATCATATAGGGGGAAAAAAATTTAACAAAGCATAGCTGTAGGATTTATGATGTCTACATTTGTAATGTCTGCACAACAAAATTAGAACCAGTGGGATAGGGGTTGAAGGATGAGATGAAGCCTAGTTTTTGTCATTTCTTTAATCTCCTTACTCTCTTCTACATCATTTTATATTAATTTTTTAAATTTTTAATTCTTGTTATATTAACAAATGCCTTGGTAGCTAGCCTCCGATAGAAAAAAAAAAAAAACTCAGCAAGAGTTGGCATTTTCTAATAAAAGCAGGACAGTCAGACCCACACTCATACATGGGAAGAAGCCTATTTGGGGGTGACAACTGACAGGAACGCTGTCTGCTTGCCTGCAGGAAGAACTGCTGGGGCCATGGAGGTGAGAATCAAAGGAACACCAAAGAGGCAAACCTGTCAACGATGAATCTGCCAAGGACTCCAAAGGTGACACTGGCCATGGTGAATGCATGACAAAGCCTTAAAAACAAGGACCAAACCTCCAGGAGGAGAGAAGGAGACAGGATAAGTCTGCAGGCGAATGTGTCATGTTATTGCAAAACTTCAGCTGCCCAGTGGAACCTTTCCAACATCAACAGTCCCCAGGCCAGAAAACAAACCTGGCGTCACAGGGTCTGAGTGTGAAAGAAGGATGTTTGGGGTGTAAAAGAAACTGGGATGGCCTTTTTGCCTCTGAGAGAAAGCTAGAAGAGCACTTGGCCAGAGAGCTTCTCAGAGACCTACTTGAATCTCCCTAGAGACACAGCTCACCTGAACCCAGAATCTCTCTTTAATTTCTAATGGGAAACAGTCTCAAGGGCCTGACCCAGAGACTCCAGTCCGTGCCACAGCCAGACACACGGTATCATTATCATGTACCTGACTTCTCATCCAACCAAAGGTAAAAGGCAATACAGAAAGACAGTCCATCCAGGGTAGCCATCATTTTTAAGCAGTTATGGTGTGCTTACTATATGCCAGGTATTTTATATACATTGTTGGATCTGCAGAAAAATCCTTCAAGTCACTAATAGCTTTGTTTTCCATATCAGCCTGTCAGTGGGAAGTCAGCATTGGAAGCCGGATATGAACATGCTCTTGCTAGCATATGGCTTGCCTGTTCTATAGAAAAAAATTCTCTGAAAGTCAAGCCCCAGGATGCTTCCTTGTGAACCCATTTGTAGGATCCTGCACCAGAACAGAATGTGACAGCTTGACAAGGGCTCCTGTGAGCTGGTCAAGGCTTGTGAGCTGCCTAGAGTGCCTGTGGGGACCTCCCCACATGTCAGGAGATGTCTCAGAAGGCACATCTCCCATTTCTGCTCGGTTTATGAGAGGGAGACATATGAGAAAGACACCCCATACACACATTCCCATCCAATGCTTCTATTTCAACCCCACTGCCAGGTGCCAATAAACCTTTTTCTGAAAAGGGTCAGAAAAAGGTCGGGTCAGGCGGTCTCTGTCACAACTATTCAGTGCTACTGTTTACCATGAAAATGCTTATGGGCAATACAGCACAAAAATGATTGTGGCCACATTACAATAACACTTCATTTGCAAAAACAGAACCCAGTTATTTGCCAATCCTTGCTATATGCCTTTTACATACTTATATCTAAAAGACTGATCAGGTCTCAGGCAGTATTATCACTAGACCATGCTGGAGAAAGCCCCCAGTTTATTAGGAAATTCCTAAGGTCTTAAGCTCTGATAATTTCTGCTGGTCTCCATTTCTCTCAGGGAAACTTTAGCTCTCCTCCACCATCCTGCCCTATACACTAACCTACAGCCATGACCCCATACAGTCTGGGGTTAATAGGGAAAAATAAAGGTAACTGAGCCACCCCAATGGAAGGGAGCTGGTTCTACCTGCCTGGAAGCCATTTCTCAGTATGACCCGATTCATCCAGATGGAAACCATAAAGTGGAAATGCAAACGGAAAGCAAAAGAACTTGAGTGGAAGCAAACATCACCAATGACTTGATAACACCACCTTGCTACACGCAGAGAATACAGCTCAAGGGAACACACACTCTGTTCCCAAGGATAAGAACTAATCCTCAAGTACTTAGTAGCTGTGACTGGAACAAGTCACGTCCTCCCTCAGCCTGTGACTCTTCATGTGTCAGAGGTGGACAATATTCAGGTCATAGGGTGATGGTGAATGTGAGCTCACACAGGCACAGATGTACAGGAGCTGCCACGGACGAGCTATGGGGACAGTGATGAGTCACTCATGATCACGGTGCTCTTTTCTCCTCCATCTTTCCCCAAGACGATCAAGCACTCTGAGTTGGATTCTCTAGTAGATATAATAGACAGGAAAGCCCTTGCCCTCTTGACATGTACACCTAGGCAGAGAAATTAAACAATGGTAGATGACAGAGATAGACGGGAACAAGCGATAGATGTCAAATGAGTGTTCTGGGCAGAAGGTGCTGAATGATTTCAGAGACAGATCATGCTCATATGCACCACTTGACCACACAATGAGAATTAATGTTTAGACTGAAGATCTGCAGACCTGCTGGGGATTCAGGATGAATGGGGGGAACCATTTGCAGACGTCATTCCAGATACCGCAGTCACCAAAACTCACCATGTTTGCCAACAGTGAGTGGGTAGGAGAAGAAGATTCTAAGAAGCAGCTTTCTAATAGGCGTTTTTGCTTAGGGTGACAATCACAAATTCTTTGCACTATAAGCTGTATCATTAATATTTTTCCTACCAATAATGATGATAAGAAATATATATATATATATATATACACACACACACACACACTTACAATTTATTATATACTTAACATTTATTAATTAGCTATATAGACATTAAGCTCAGACTTTAATCACAATCCTTTGAAGAAAAGATGGTGACCCAGTATGAGACTGAGGCTCAAGCAGGTTATTTTGAGTTGACTGGGTCACTCACCAGTTGGAACCAGAAAATGATACCAGGTTTCCCTGATTCCAACACCTATACTTTAACCTTGGCACTATTTTCTCAAGGATTCTGGCCCACGGGATTTCACATGGTCTCATTCCCACCCCAGCACCCCCAGACCTCCTCCAACCAGACATGTGCAAAGTCACTGACCAGAGAAAACCCCAGTACTGCATTGGATCTACCTCATGGTCTAAACCACTCCATGCATGCTTGCGGCCATATGGCCACCTTGAGGATGGAGTGGCAGTGTAGGGACAATTGATAAACCTAAAGAGAGCTGAGGATGGCATACTGACAATTAATGGTTGTGTAAAACTCTGCCTGCCAGTTCAAAGGGATGTACCTTTTGTTTATAGACTCTACTATCTAAAATGACCAGACATAAATTATGCCAGGTGGCATTTCTCACATTGAAGTGTTAGGCTGAAAGAAAGCTGATTCCCCCTGAGAGATTAGGTTTGTTAGTATATTTTCCTGTTGATCGATATCTGGTCTTTATTAATGGTGAACCTTATTGACTTTGGTCTTCATTAATGGCGAATGAATGCTACAAATAAATCTTATGAACCTGAAACCTCTTAAAAAAATAGCACATTTTTAATGAAGTTCAGCTAATAATCAAAACCTGAACACATACAAGGCCTTCACAAGATCAGGCCAGTAGATCTAGGGTTGTAAGCAACTATTTTGAGTCTCAAAAACACATAGAACCAAGTGTCTTGAGGCTTGAAGTCCAACTGTAGCTAAGTCCAGCCATTCTTCCTTCAGATCTTTCTGCATGGCATAAAGAATGTCAATTAAACATAGTGAGAAGTTTTTTGACTAAATAACCCACTAGTCATGAAAGATGATCCCTGGGTTAATAATTAATAGAAAATTGGGCCTCCCCGGTGGCGCAGCAGTTGAGAGCTGGGTTGCGAAGCTGCCCGCAGCCTCTGGGGCGCGGTTCGATCCCCGGCTGCTCCCCGGCCACCGGAGGAGGGTCCCGCATGGTGTGCAGACCTCTCCTGCCACCCGCTGCTCCCCTCAGCAGTGTACTTCGGTCCTTCTGCCTGCTCTGCTCCCCACTCTGGCTCTGGTGAATTCTCTCACCCTCCCGCGCTTCTGACCGTACCCAGTGCATGTATAAACAAACAAGCAAAAAACAAACAAACAAATAAATAAATAAAACATGCCTCTATAAAAAAAAAAATTAAAAAAAAAATAATTAATAGAAAATTAAAATTGGGATGGACTAGGTCAAAGAATCTGAATTTTCCAGCTGTAGATATTGACCTGCTTGAGTCCACACAGCAGTTAGTCAACTGTGTATGGGTTTCCTGCTTGTCTCATCTGGGACACATGATTTACCTGAATTCCTTATGTTGGTGTTGTTCAGTTTGGAGTCCTTGATGACCAAGTGCTTAATCCATAGTGTGGGAGCTGTGATTTCTGAAGGAAAAATGAGAAGAGAAAAAATAAAGTCTAAGCAAAGAGAGCATGTAACTTGGGAGGAAAATCCCCAGACATCTCAGTAGCTGTTTATAAGTCTCAAGCATCAAGGCTTCTGCTACCTCCCCATTCCATATCCATTTTCCCTTTCTATGGGGGCTCCTCTGGTCCAACCAGGGCTTCCTGTGCCAGGAGGCAGAGTGGTCACAGTCCAGAGGCGCTGAGCCACTCCATCCAGGAATAAAAATATTATCCCAGGAGGTGAGGAACATGGGCCAAGCCAAGGCTCTCTCAGCTGCTTCCCTGGATTTAAAGGGGATAAATCAACAAATGAAGGCCAAACAAACCGCAGAGACCATTTTGGAGGAAACGACTGAGCCACAGCAGATTTCAGCTTGCTCAGACTCTGTTCCACATGGGAAAGAAAGAAATGGGTCCTATGTATGTTTCAAGTCCCTTTCTAGTAGTATCTCACTGAACAGAGACTGAATTCCTCCATCCAGTGAGCTCCAGGGTGGCTCCAGGCTCTCCAGGGCTTGGATCACCCAGGGGCCCGGTGATGTGAGAATCCTGGATGACCCTGTACAGACCATACAGTGGAGGTGTCCCAAGTAGACATGGTCTCCATTCCTCATCCCAGCCCCCCTTCCCCATCCCACATTCACCAATGATCCAGAATGTTTTTGGACCACTGAAATATTCAAACTTCTAGACACGAACACACATATTCTACTAAATGACCATTTGCAAAGACAGTCGCAAATTTCAATCCTTCTCTCTAGAGCTGAGCCTAGGGATATCTCTAGCTACCATACCCACCAGTGGCATGATCTCTTTTTATTCCTCTTAGTGTCCTGTCTTACGATCCAGGCCTGGACACATTGACTGAAAGCTGCTTAGAGGCTGCTGCCTATTGCACTGAGAGTTGAACCTTGTCAAACTTCATAAATGCACTCCTGTTCCTCCTTGTGGGAATCTGCACTACATAGTGAAGCACACTAAAGAATGCAGGCCCTGAGCAGCTCAAAATTCAATCAAGGCCAGGCTTCTGTACCCCAGGCTCCTCCAATTTACTCCTTATATCTCCAAGGAGAGCTAATCTCTCCCACCAGCTACCACAATTTCACTATGACCTGGAATTTATCCTCTCCTAGATGTCTTGACTCAGTGCTCAAGTTCCTATAACTTAGTCAAATCAGCTCCACTAGCCAGTCTCTTTCCTGCTACTTTCCCTGTTATACTCTACTCCCACCTGATTCCCTCCTTTGTCTGTGCCAGCCCCCCTGCCTGCCATGCCCTGATTCCTCCCTCCACTTTGAAGACCCAATTCAAGTGGCATCTCTTCCTGCATCTTTCCCCAGGCCATTGTGATCTCTTTCTTCCATGACTGTTCTTTACAGTAAAAATGGAGACATTACAATTAAACATACAAAGTTCTCTAAATATTGCAACTGTCTTGAGAGCAAAGTCTTCCATCTGGATTTCTCCCTCATCCCTCACCAAGCCAAACACAGAGCTGGGCACAGAGCAGGAAGGGTGCTGGTTCATTTACAGAAGAGATGCTGCGGCCTGACTGTGTCCCTCAGCCCTGGCTCCTAGGTCTTGGCAACCCAAAGGGTCCATCCCGGCTGTGTTATTGTTGGACATCAGCAGCCAGGCAGGAAGCCTGGCAAGAACATAGGCCCTTTCCAAAAGTGGAGAGTGTACCAGTTCCTGGGAGGATTGCATTTTTTTAAAGGTTAAAACAACCCAGGTTAAACTGGGAAAAACTAAAATTAAAAAAGAAGCAAATAATAATAAACCTTAAACAAACATCTGAAGAAAAGACCTTCCCCAAATCTGAAAATAGGTGGGAGAATGCAAGTAGGAAGTAATACAAAAGCTTACCATCCCCGTCGAACACCGGCTGAGTCTCTGCTGTGGGCGTTGGCTTAGACCCGTCATCTGAATTGAGGGTTAAAAAGAATCGAAAAGAGACTACCATTATTGAGGTAAATACTATCTACTCTCCAGCACTGTTGAATGGTTGGGGTTTGCACATGGCCCGGCCAAGTCCCAGTGAAGATACCAAAGAGGAAGAAAGAAGAGAAGAAAAGAAGAAGAAGGAAAAAGAGAACCAGAGAAAGACACCAACAGTAAGATACAGTCAGCTCACCACCCCCAGGGAGGGACCGAGGGGAGCTCAGTAGCCACAGCTCTGGAGGAGCTATCTCCATCAATCTGACTGAACCAGCACATCTGTCAGCTGTTGTTCCTCTCAGTGGGAAGCCAGGAGGACCATCTTCCCAAGCAGCCCTGAGTTTGGGCCAGCACATATGTGGCATCAAAAAGAGGTGCCTCCAGTTCCTTCTCTCCCTGCTCTGAACCCAGCCCAGTACCTTTCATGGAGGCACTTAAGGAAAACAAGAGACTGCGGAGCTGCTCCCTCCTACCTGCTAGCTATTTCTCTGCCTTCGTTTTTAAAAGACGAGCTGGCAGGAAGGACCATTCTGTCTCCAGCATGTTGAGCTGAAGAGAATGGGGACTCTTTAGAACACTTTTAACTCTGAAGCAACATGCAGTCCAATTTCCAGTAAGAGGTGAGGGCAAACAAAATGGGAATTCTGGGGCATGGGAAACTGCACCAGGCTGTGCTTTGAAGTTTTAGGGTAGCAGATGGGCATGGGGCATTCCCAGGAGCAGTTTTAATGCTCATCTTCTTCGAAGTGTTAGCAGCTCTCTGCAGAGTGAGAAACTCTGCAAGTCCGGAGTGAATGCAGACTTGATTTACCTTTGAGACCGCTGAGTTATTTTCATCAAAACCTGAGCTTAGAGCAGTGTTTCTCAACCTTTCCTTTTTTCATTACCTCCCACCTCCTACACATTTGTAAACATTTCACCAAATCATCAGCCTAGTGAAATTATAATAACTAAGGTATATTGTATGTGTTTGTATACTGTGTGTGTATGTATATACATGCACACATAATTGGGTCTTGGGTCTTTTATATGCTTTATATGTACAAAGAGCAAGGATTCATAACACCCCACCAAGACTCAATTTCCACCTCCTTGGTGAAGACTGGGAGCAATAACCTTTGTCCCCACAAAGGATTCAGTTTAGTCATTTCTGTGTCCCGTTGGTGGGGGGATGGAAGGAGAACTCTGTGAGCTCAGTTTGATGATTACACCATCAGTCTCTTCCCAAGACCCCCCAGAGGTCCTTTGGAACTGAACACTATATTTATTTATATTAACTATTTATGGAGAGGGCAAGTGCTCAGAGAGTCTCCCAGACGCCAGTCAGATCATCAATAACAACCCCGCACCATGCGGAGTTCCCAGAACCTTCATGACTTCCCTGCATCTTATCAGCAGAGACAGAAAGAACAGAATCCTGAGCCCTCTCTTGTACCAACACCCCAACCTGGGGATCTTAGCCAAGGCGACAGAGACCCTAACCCTTGCTGAAGCCCCCAAGCTGGCCGGGTGAGACATCTGATAACATCCCACCTGTTGTTGTGCTCAGGTGTTGACACCAAGATCCAGCCCCCAGAGGGGCCAAGGCCATCCTGAATTATTTGGCAATCATCCCAAGGAATGAGATGAAGGAGGAAGAGAAGAGCAATGATGCTGGATACTTTATGTGCCTCCAAATGGAGTCTAGAACTGGTATCTTTGATGCTGAGCTGTGTTAGTTTGCTCTGGAAGTCACTGAGGGAGAATAATCACAGAACAGAGCCTCACAATGTCACTGCTTTCATAGCATCGCTTCCCCTGACTCTATTAACACCTCTTTCTATTGAATTCAAAGAGCCACTAGTGAAGTCTTCCGGCAGCTGCAATGCACATTTGGTTGCTCCTGCCGATGCAGACTCCACGATCTCAGTAGCCCCATGCTCAAGCCCTCCTTACAGGAGTGTTAAGGGTAATGTAACAAAGGGAAAGTGAGAAGTTAAATACCCGCTCAGAGACTATGGTGAAAACCCAAGTGAAAAATGGTTTATATGATATTTTAGTGTTCAATTAAAACCCTCTCATATTATAAGAGTTGATGCTCTCTTTGGAGCTGAGTAAGAGAAAACATTCTGTTTATTTCTCCCATCATCCAGATTGCAGTCTAGGATGCCCCATCTGGTCTAGTGAGCAGCAAAGAGAACAAGGAGGGTTCCCACCTCCAGGGGAAGTTTCGTACTCCTACAGGTCAAGACCTCCACAATCACCCAGCTGCGGACCCAGAAGCCCACAGAGCATGACGCCACGTGCTGGGAGTGAATCTTGCCGCAGGGTGGGGTCACCGAGGGTGAGGAGACACAGCTGTGCTACCACAATGGAGGCCCCAGATGGAAATCTTTATGAAGTGAGAACAGAAAAGTGCCCTGATGCCAGGAGAGCCACCTGTGAAATTCAGCATGCCCAAAGAATGGGGAGCCAGGCCAAAGCCAACAGGACCCTCTGACCATCATGTCCGGGCACCTGGGCCCCTGGCTTCCAACCCAGCAAACAAGCGCACCCTTCTACCAACATAGGTCCAAGGCGTGGATCCAAGGTCCACATCAGTTCTGCTTCCCGGCAAGGCTTGGGATGACACCAGGCCCCACACTGGGGAGAGGGCACCGCTGCCACATGTGTCCCTGGCTTCCCACTCGAGAGGGGTTTCACTCCAGAACCCAGTTTTACATTCAAACAGTGGGGTAACCTGAACCCCTCACTTTTCCTCACTGAGGTGTGAGAGCTTCTTCTAAAAATGATGATGCCGACCTCCCCAGCACAGTGTAGGTATAAGAGACTTAAAGTCCTTGAAAGGAGGTATATACCATGAGTGCTAAACCATCTTACCCAACGGCTCGCTTTTAAAATTGTATTTGGAAAATTGAAATCCCATCAAAGATTTTAAATTAAATGTAAAGTAAACCTTACAACTCAATCAGAAGACAAGTAACCTGATTTCCAAATAGAGGAGATAGTTTAGCAGAGATTTCATCAAAGAAGATGTACAGGCAGCCAATAAATACATGAAAAACATCATTAGTCATTAGGAAAACACAACTTAAAACCACAACAAGGGGACAACAGTCACTGAGCCATGATGCTGTAGAATCTGCTGGCTCTTCATCAAATTACCCAGAGGATGTGAGTGCTGCTTCACACAGACAGCTAGAAAATAAAGTTCCAGAGAAACCGAACTGGTTGCAGGAAGAGAATGGAATTCCAGTGCATGCAAAGGGTGAGGGAGCCGATGTCCTCTCCTCGAGAGCCACTGTGATTCTTGCAATGGGTAGAACAGCAGCTGGCTATGTCATCATTTCCCAAGGAGCAAGGTTGGTTTCAATTTATCATCCCAGCACTCAGCTGGTTCAATGGATCAATAATCTGATAAAGAATCTGAATTCTGGGCCTCCCCAGTGGTGCAGCGGTTGAGCACTGGGCTGCGAAGCTGCCCACAGCCTCTGCAGCGCCGGTTTGATCCCCAGCCGCCAGCGAGGGTCCCACATGGCGTGCAGACCTCTCCTGCCGCCTGCTGCTCCCCTCAGCAGTGTACTTCGTCTGTCTGTTCTGCTCCCCGCTCTGTCTCTGGTGAATTCTCTCACCCTCCTGCGCTTCTTTGAAGATCAATTTTTATTGGCTTGTACGAAATGCCCACAATTAGGCAGTCTTTACCATGACAAAGACAAAATGACAATGAGATGTTGCTATATTCCTACTAGAATGGCTCTTGAAAAAAGGTCTGTAGTAAGTGCTGGTAAGGATGTGGAGAAATTGAACCCTCATTCTCTGCTGGTGGGAAAATTGGGCAGCCACTTTGAAAAAGAGTGATTTATTTAAGAAGTTAAGTACAAATTTTCCACTCAACTCAGAAATTCTTATTCTGGGAATCTGTCCAAGGAAAATAAAAAACATGTCCTCCCAAAGACATGTATACAAATATTCATAGCAGCTTATTCATAATAGCTTCAAGTTGGAAACAATCGAAATGTCTGCCAGCTGGTAAGTAGGTAAACAAATTGTGATATATTCATATAATGGAATATTACTCAGCCATTAAAAGGAATGAACTACTAATACATGTGGCAATACAGATGAACCTTAAAAACATTATACTAAACGAAGAAATCATGTGCAGATACTGCATATTGTCTGATTCCCTTTATAGGAAATGTCTAGAAGTAAATCTACAGAGATAGCAGAGATTCCTTGTGGCTAGGGCTGGTGTGGGGGTGTGATGTAACTGCAAATGCTACAAGGTTTCTTTTCAGGATGATGGAAATGTTCTGCGGTAGTGGCTGTGCAACTCTATAAAAAAATACTAAATTCATTGAACCGTATATTTACAATGGGTAAATGCTACAATATATAATTATACTTCAATAAATCTATTAAAGCAAAAGTGGGAAATAGTGCCAAAGTCTTCACAGATAAATCACCAGCAGCAGCTGCCAGATCTGTGAACAATTCTTAATTTGGGGACAAATTTCCGTATACTGAAATACATATATCTGAATCTCAGTTTACAAATATGCATATGAAAATATGATACTTGGCTTATTCTTGGTAATTCTTTTAGACCTCAAATAGTTAGACTTATTTCTCTTTAATATCACACTATTCTTCTAGAGCCAAGAGGAAGGTGATAAAAAACTGGTAGGAGAAGAAAAGTAAATACAAAACATAAGAATACAATAATAATAAAGCTAATGAGAGTATTTCTCAAAGGTGATGTCAAGATCAAAAATAAAAGGATCACCACACTTTGCAACACTCAAAGTTTCTGGCAGGTGGCTTTCCTCTTCTATCCTCACCTCCGGCCAGGGTGGAGGAATTCACTGGGCCGACAATAAGAGATGGAGTCTCAGTGCAGAGAGGGATTTGCTCATGGCGGCGGCAGAGGCAGTGAGCAACTTTGGAAAAAGCCCAGAGTCGTGGGGTTTGGCCTCCCCCGGCCCCCACCCCCAACCAGGCCTCAT